GAAAAATGTCTAAAATGTAAGGTATGATTGTTTTGGGGGAAAAAAAACACTATGTCAAGATTAAAATAAATTTTAATTTAATCTTTGTTTTTGACACTGATGACTTCCTATTATTGATTTATTTGTATCTAGGATCTTCTGGAGTCCTGCTTTTTCTTCTATAGTTGGAGGGACAAGCATGACTAGAAGTTCTCTCGTCTGATTATAAATAGTATGGCCGTGTTTTTTTCTTTAATTTACTTGTCTTTAAATTATTTTATTTTTATTTACTGTATATAATTTAGTTGTTATTTTACTTTTTTCTGAAAATATAGTGTGAATATAGTCTTACCTCATTATAATTATTCTATTTAGAAAGTTTACAGGTTTTTTTTTTTTTTTTTTGTCCTTCCCTTCCTCACATTTAAGGCTATACGGGGTTTTCCCGAGTCAGGTGGTAAGTGCGGGGAATTTAAAAGATCCTCAGCCACCGGGAAACAAACTCGTAATTTTATTGTCTCCAGCTTTGTTTATTAGGTTACCAGGCAACGCGCGGTGCTTTGCACACACGTTAGCTCGTTCGGCCAACCCGTCCGTAGGTTTCCATGGTTATTTTATTTTATTTTATTTTATTTTCCTCCCTACCCTACCTTTAAGACAATACGGGAGTTTGCAGCAGTGACTTGATACACATTGTATAACAAATCACTGTTGCATGTTTATCTATTTACATTTTTAAATTGCTGTGCACACAGCCTGCTTGATAATTTTGTCACTTAGTTATTGTTCTCCATCTTCTTCTCCTGTCCTAATTAGCGGCCTTCCAGGTACTGCTTCTTCACGCCTTCCCAGGGAGAAGTGGGTTGGGCCCACAGTTTTTTTCCAGCCGCATACGAAACTTTTAAAGTGCGGGTAGTTTTGTTCAGACATTAGTTGGGGTAATTGTCCTTCTGTAAGAACGAAAAGCCCTGTATCCCTCATTAATTTGGCCCTCAGTGCCTCATAGCTGGTGCAGGCTACAAGGATGTGCTCAGCGGTTTCAGGTACTCCACAAGTGGGGCATAAGGGGTCGATATTTTTACCGTGTTTAAAAAGTTTTGCTCTGAAACCCCCATGCCCCGTGAGGATCTGTGAGACCCAGTAGTCCGGGAGGACCCATTTCTTTTCTAAGCGCGATTTAATGGTGGGAAAGAATTTTCTTAGTGTGGACCCGTTTGGGGTTGTCACCCATCGCCGATTCCATTGTTCCAATGTATCCTCCCGGAGGATCATCTTCCATCTTCTGGGGTCATCACAAATCCTCTCCCGAATGTTTGCTGGTAAATCCGCCAAGTCATCCCTCTTAATGTTGTACCGATAAAGGTCTTCCCGCAGAAGGAGGTCGAGAGGAATACCTCCTCCTAAGACCTGCACCGCCTCATGGGACACAGTTCTGTATGACCTGGTTACTCTAAGCAGGGCCATCCGCTGGATTGTTGCCAACTTGCGCTTCTGACGGTACGAGAGATTCCGGTTCCATGCGGGGGACGCGTATCTCAGGATACCAACAACTACTCCTTTATAAATGGACATAGTTGCTGGATATCTAAGGCCCCAAAAGGCCCCCCCTATGCGACTGAGACCATTAAGGGCTAAGGTTATCCTATTCCTTAAGTAATCCAAGTGAGGCGTCACGTTGAATTTTTTCCCAATCCTAATTCCAAGATAGGTGACTACCTCACTTGGACATATTCTGGAACCTTGTATCACCAAGGTTATGGGGTGTGCCCTATCGGTCGAACCTCTCAAGAGGATGGCCTGAGTCTTGGAACCCGCCATCCTTAACTTCTTTTTCTCGCACCATTCTTCTACAAGGTTGGCACAACGTTCAGCTTCATATTTTAATCTGGCCCTGCTATTCGAGGCCACTACAACAGCCAGGTCATCTACATATGCAGTGGCGGGGAACCGCTCCTGTTCTAGCACTCCCAGCAACTCGTCAAAGACCAGTTTCCATAGGGCAGGGCCAAGGACAGAGCCCTGTGGACAGCCCCTTTCCACTGTATCTTCTACTTCATAGAAGCTACCTTTAATCTTCAATGTCCTATCGTGGAGATAGCTTCTGATCAAGCCATACAAGTTGCTGGGGGCTTCATGCCTTTGCAACTGCTGGAGTACGCTCGGCCACCAGACGCTATCGAAGGCGGATGATATGTCAAACAGGAGGAGCATAACATACTTCTCCGCCTTCTCTTCAACATCACAGCGCACTCTCAGCAGGGCATCTGCGGTTCCCCTGCCTTTAGAGGATCCGTACTGCCGTGGATGGCTCGCTCTCGAGAAGACTGGCCGTAGGCTGGTGAGTATCAGGTTTTCTAACACCTTGCTCATGACTGGGAGGAGACATATAGGTCTATAAGATTTGGCTAATTGCTTATCTTTGTCTCCTCCTTTGTAAATGAGCTTGACGTTAGCGATTTTCCAGATTCTTGGGAAGTATTCCCTGTCTAGGCAATCATTATAAATAGCCAGCAATCTTTCCTCTATATAGGGAATACTGTTCTTGAAAATTGACGCGTCAATGGTGTCTAAACCGGGGGCACGACCAATCTTTTGCTTGTCCACGGCAGTGCGAAGATCCCATATGTCCCATGGTGGGCACAGGTCCGTGCCGGGAGGGTATACCGTAGTGCGTCTTACGAACTCCTCCTCTTCATTATCTTGAGATGGATCATCCCTGGGGTAAGTCTCTGTAATAAACATCTTCGCCGATTCTTCTGGAGTTTTTGCCTGAGTACCGTCATACTTTATCGCTGCGATTACTTGCATTGGAGTCAATTTACCCAAGGCTACTTTGTACGGGATACCCCAGGGGTTTTTAGATGATTCCTCAACGATGAATTCATCCCAAGACCTACGTTTATGTAGACGCACCTCGTTTCGGTATACCCTGGCTTTAGACCTGTACTCGTCACGAAGAGTAGTGCGCCTCTCATCGCAACTACACCGCTGGTACGAACGCCGGGCCTTGTAGAGCTCTCTCTTCATGGTGGTTAAAGCCGGCGTCCACCATGGGACAGGTTTAGCTCTCGCCTTCCGGTGCTGGAGAGAGTCCTCAGCGGCATCACGGATGATGTCAGTGATTCTCGAAACCCTGTAATCCAGGTCATCAGTGTAATCCGTTTCCGCCACATCCCAGTCATCGTCGACTAGTTTTTCTTCCAGCGTTGACCGGAAGGCATTCCAATCTCCTTTCCGAGTTCTGTAACCCTTATTTATACCGTGGGAACTTACCATGTTTTGTACCATTGAAAATACTATAGCATGGTGGTCGGAACTCGTCTCAGATCTGAGGGTCCAATCGATAAGGCGATTTGACAGCGCAGGCGAAGCCATCGTGACATCTATCCAACTCTGCCCTCTTCCTCCTGAGAAGGTAGGTGTGGCAGAAGGATCGTTTAGTACTACAAGCTGGCATCTCGCGATAAAATCATCCAGTTTAGCGCCTCTTCTATTCGTTCGATTGGATCCCCAGACCGTGTTCCAGGAATTTGTATCTGAGCATATAATGACGTTTCTTGTGCAAGCTGAGATCGTCTCCATGGCGGATATACCTTCTTCAATATCGCTTCCATCAGGTAGGTACGAGGAGACCAGCGTAAAAGCTACACTTCCCCACCTGATGTAACATGCAACGCAATCCGCCGTAGTATGCTGCCTCAGATCCATCACATCGAGGTTTGGGTTATTAACCACGATAGCAGCCCTGGGCCTCCTCTCTCCACTGCTCAGGGCTATAACCCTCGACGTGAGGCCAAATCCTGTGACCATGTTCCCACGGCATGTCGGTTCCTGAACCGCCATGATATCGTATCGGTCAGAATGGGCTCGGAGTTCGTCTGCCACGATACGCCGGCGGCCCATGTTTAACTGCAGAATGTTTATTTTACTCATAATAGGTCTTTTTCACTACTTCATCGGCCCACTGTAAGTGTACTTGGCAGTCCCGACTGCCCGCCTTGTGATTCCTTTGGTTGGGAGATGCATTCGCTCGCACGCAGTTAATACACGTTGGCCCAACCTGTTGTTTTTTTTTTTGGACAGTCCTTCAGTATATGTCCGCTTGCTGCACACCAGATGCAGATGACATTGTCAGCTTGGCAAGTGGCCTTTGTGTAGGTTTCCATGGTTGTATCTACATTCCTAAATCAACCCTCGTGTCTCCAACATCAACGAAACACCACCTGATATGTTGTTCTTTGCCATCTTCTGTTCCCTGAATGTTTCTTTCAGATCTGAGAACGTCTCTATGTTATGTGCTATACACTATGTGCTTTTCTAGGCTCGGATTGGTGAATAGCCAACGAACTACAACCAAATAAAAACAAACCAGCGTTGATATCATAGCTGCTATATAACATATTAAACTCAAACAAACAACCTCTTAACCAGCGACTTAAGATTCGTTATAACGAGCAGTCTGTCTTGTCTAGCGGAGTGTCTGGTGATGGAAGAAGGTAACTTAACCAATCACCATGATTATAGTAAATCAATTTTTATTGTAAAATATTCATTTCTCGATGGTATCCTAATATTTTTTTCTAATATACATAAATTACTAATTAGTCTTAACTACTTTTCCGTTTGGAATCGGAGCATGGATCAAATGAACTTTTTTTTGGAAATTTTGTCTAGAATCACTTCCCAGAAATTGGCCATTAAAAACTGAGGCACCCTTCATTCTGCATACAAATCTTTTACATATTTATATATTTTCTATGCATAAAGCATCATGCATTGTTAAACGATTTTCATCTATATTCCATTTATAATATTGATTGATTTAATGTAATTTATTTATTTCACTTTATTGAGTAAATAACTGTTTAAGTTTATAAAGATTTAAAAATAATTATAAGGACACTAAAGAAATGTTATTTTTCATAACAATTTTCTATAAATAAACCGAAAAAATAAAAGGAATGAGATTGAAACACGTGACTTGGACCAGTCGTCCTTCAGTCTTGCTCAGGTATAATCTTCAAGAACATGACAGCTTGGTTCTTCTGCTTCTCAATCCTGCTTTGTCTTCCATGGCTCAATTCTTGCGTAAGTTAATATCTTTTTCGAGTGACTATTTAGTTTTAAGTCAATAGAAATCATCTAGAGTTTTATCGATATTGAGTGAAGTAATTTCGATTTGATTATATTTAAAATATTACAAAAGTAGATTAGTATTACTGATATATCTAAAAATGCCCTGATAATCTATAGTGATATTTTAAATGTTTAAAAATTTGCTATGTAATGCATGTTCATATTTAGAAGCAGTTGCATAAAGCTAAATTTAATCTTCTTTTTTTTTATTTTCATTTACCTATATATGTCATATATAATAAGGGAAAGTATTGCTATCGTGAATATTTTTGAACCTGAGATTTCAACGGAAATATACGTTTTGAAGTACCTTGAGGCCAAATAACTATGTTCCACAAAATGGTATGTGTGTGTCAGCGTATGTGAACAGTCTTGCTCATAAACGAAAAGTCGTCCGAAAGTATAATTACATATTCAAAGTTTTAATACGTTTGGGATGTTACAACAATTTTTCGTCAGAATCAGTTAACCGGAAGTGGCACACATATCATCGATTTCACACATTTTTACGATTTTCCAAAAAAAGGATCTAACGATTTTGATTACATTCATTTTATCAATGTAAAATTAAACAAATTTTAATATAATGTGGGTTTTATTCTCATCGATGCTCTCTAATAGGGCTTAAACTGATATTACGTATTTAAGATATGCATATGCCTTAGATGTGATAGTAACTTTTTCCTTAAAATCGGCTCACCGGAAGTGTCACTTTATATCAACGCTGAAACACATTTTTATAATTTCCTCAAAAAGGTTCCAACGATTCTGGTAAAACTCGCTGAATCATTGTATAATTAAGTGATCTTTGATATCAATCAGGCCTTATCCCCATTGATGTCACTTTACAGGGCTTAAATGCCCAATGTTCATATACGTCTTCCTCTAAAGTACATTTATTATGGTTTACTTTAAATAACTAACTATCTCATATTATTAAGAGTTACGAAAAAATGCTAAATATAACTTTTGAATGAATTTGATAATTGAAGAAAGGAGAAAAAAATAAAAATGCGTATCCGAGTCGAAAATGAATCTCCAGTTGTAAGTGTAGGAGGTAACGGGAGAATGATGAAAAAATTATAAATAATAATTTTTGAAACCTAATATTATTAACATAAATCACATGTTTTCAAGGAAATTAAATGAAATTTACTAACTAAATGTAAACTTTAAAAATATTTTTAAGTTTGAAAAAAGTATTTAAAATCCACCTAATCATGGCAATGACATTGTTTAAAAAACTATTTTATTGTACTCGTATGAAACAAGAGAGAGAAATACTTTATTAAAAGTAATGCTGCCCTACTACATAGGGTTGCTTCGTACACAGCATACCTATCAATCCACAAGGACATTAATTTTATATTTCATTTTTCTATTTTTTTATACATATATATGTCATATCTTTCCTTTCTTTCTCTCTTTTTCCTCTTTCCTCTCATAACAAATTCTCATAAGCAATTCCCAGAGTGCAGACAAAAAGACAGGACGACAGCGGATCAATTCAAAATTTAATAAACAATTATTACCAGATGTCCTCAATCGGTATAAATATGATAGTGGATGATTCCCAGGGAGTCCAAAATAATATTTTCGGCCAATACCGCGAGCTCCCCAACATCAACACCTAGTTCTTCGAGAAAGCTCCTTGTTCTTTCCGGGATCGTTCCGCGAGACCCAAACCAGAGGCCTCTCACGGTGAACTCTCTCTCTCCGAAGGTCTCGCGGAATTTCTCTTTTAGGAAAGGGATGCATTTTTCGTATATATTCCTCTTTTCCCTTTCCACTTCACCCGCCTGATCGAGGTCGTTGCTCTCAAAGCGGACAGTTGGATCCAAGATTAGCGCTGTCCTTCCTGTTCTGGGAAACGCGACAATATCCGCATATCTTGTAGAGCCTTCACTGTCTATGCAATAGACCTCGTCAAAGCAGGTGAATTCCTTTTCTCTAAGGAGCCTCATCACCTCGAACTTTACCCTATGGTGCCGGCGTGTTATGAGGAGGGAATTGTTGGGGCATTTTCCCAGCACATGGGCTGGTGTTTCCGACTCTCTGCCGCATTTACGACAGAGGGACCCAACTTCCTTCGACTGTCCACTGGCTCCTGGGACTCCGCGTAAAGGTGCGTAATTGATGTTTAGTTTTAATGCGTTGGACCATTCCGACCCCGAAAGCACTTTTTTCTGGCATATGTATTTATTGGCTTTCGGGGTCTCTTTAAAGTGTCGAACTCCAACGCCTTGCCACCTGCAGCTGGCCCACTCTTCAAAAGAATTTTCTCTCAGCGACTGTCGTAGAGCTCTCACGCTTCGGTGGCCCTGATCCACTCCCAGTCTTTCCGCACATTCCGCGATTTCCGCATTATAATCAAATGTGGACTGGAACAGGGAATCCGGCACATTAGACAGCCGCTGGGCAATGGACCAATGCTGCAAAGGAGCCTCCCATTGACAGCGGATCAGTCCCAATCCACGAAACCTCCTCGGTGCATAAAACATCGCCGTTGATGCATTAGCAGGGAGCCCGATAATGGCCTTGACACTCCTGCGGATATTTGTATCAATTCCTTCCAATATCGCAGGACGTATCTTTGTGATGGGCGCCGTCTGAAGAGGGTAAGTCCCGGGAACACGTACTGGTTCACAACGTTGATCTTCTGCTCCGGCTTAAGAAGGCAAGAGCTAACCAATTTATCCAAGTTGTTGTTTAATTTTGTCACCATTTCCTCATTTAATACCAGCTCTCCCGAGAACGCACATCCTAAATACTTTATAGTTTCACCTGGCTTTGTTGATGCTATCACTTCTCCGTTCTCTAGGGAGAGCTTTGTTTGTTGCAGCTCTCCTTTTTCGACTATAAATCCCACGCTTTTCTGCGGATTTATTGCTAGACCGATCTCGGCAAGGATCCTCTGCACACCATTAACAATCCTCTCTGCAGCACCCTTGTCACACGCTGTAACAGCCTGGTCATCCGCGAAGCCTGTGAGGACCACACATTCTTGGTCGCTGCTTAATTTATATCCATAGCGGTTGGCAAATTCTTGCTCACACAGGTCGCGGTACAGATGATCTATAGCCAGGTTGAACAGCGAGGGCGACAAGGGTCCGCCTTGGGGTACTCCTCGCCGCACCTTGATCCAGCTAGTCGAGTGGGCTCCGATCCCAATCTTGATTTGGTTTGAACCTAGGAGAGCCGCAATTACGTTCTTCAGGTCTGGTGACACTCCTCTTGCCTCTAGTGAGCCGATTATATGTTCGTGACCAACGTTGTCGAAAGCGCCAATGACATCCAAAAACACTACCGCGCAATCTTTCTTTTTATTCTTGGCGTCTTTTATGATTGCGTCGATAATTCTGGCGCTTACGTGTGCTCCCGGTAGGCCTCTGATGAAGCCTCTCTGATTTTTGCTGAAGGTGATCTGTTTTCTTTATAAACACATTTCATGGATGTATAAAGCATATGTTTATAACCTTAAATACATTTACTGTAGTTTAATAATTCTTGATCTGATATTATATTTAAATAATTATGTATCATCATCCGTTCATATCGAAAAATCGTCATGTAACTTTTTAGAAAATTAAATTAGATGTCCCAGCATTATCATGTCTTCCTCTTAAGTACTTTTAATTTGGTTTATTATAATTAATAAAAATTTTTCATTTGTTAGGAGTTATGAAAAAATGTTAAATATAACTTTCAAAAGAATTTGATGATTAAATAAAGAAGGAAAAAAGAAAAATAATTATCCAGACCGAAAATGAATGTCCGGAAATGATAGTCAAAAGGTATGAATATCGATATACATAAAGGTAAACATAAAGGCATACGTATCCTTAGAAAGCGAAGAATAAAAAAAACAAACAATATCTAATATAAAAGGTTGTAGAACAGCGCATGGCGAAAAAAATATAAATAATAATTTATAAAAACTAACATTATTTAGCGTAAATCACCTGTTTTCAAGGAAATTAAATAAAATTTTCTTACTAAATGTAAACTTATAGATTTTTTTTTAAGTTTAAGAAAGAAGAAGTTAAATATACAAATATTTCATTGATATGGGACTTTTGTTATTTGTTAGCTGTTAAGCTTTTAGCTTTAGCTCGGTTAAAAATACAACTCAAAAATTGTATAATAGCCCAACATGGCCAGAAAATAATTTCTATTCAAAGTTGAGCGGTAAGTGAAAATTGTGTTTTGTGCATAAAATTTTTACTCTTGTTGCTTGGTTTTGCTTCGACTTATTCTTCTTTTCTTTAATACATCAACTAATAAATATACGTTTTAAGTAAATGTTTACAAACATATTTACTATGATTATTTAGACTTTTGTCCCGCTAGATTACCTAGATCGATCACGTCATAGTACGTCGGTTTAACATTTTATTTTCTATATTTTTTTTAAGAAGATCTAATATTTCTGAATAATATTTTCAATACTATTTTTTTCAATATAAAATAATAATATTGGAACAAAACTCTACCGAAATCCCATATTCATAATATAATATTTTTATTATTTTTTGCAAATTTGACACAATTTTCGTAGGTGTACATACAAAAACAAGAAGCGTGTTATATATTAATATAATAAGCACATTAATAAGTAATAATCTAAAAAAATGTGTGAATATTTATGCAAAAAAAAAAAATGATAAAGATAAATAATTTATACATCACAGAAGAATTTATAGTTTGTACTGAAGATCTTAATAAAAACATAATCTGAATATTGAGAGTAATAACAAATATTTAAAAGGCATAAAATGCACCCAGTTATTCTCAAAATTATCGAATAATTACATATTAGCCATCCTACCAATATCTCAAAGGGAAGTAAAAGTAACTAAAATAGAATTTTGAACTATACATCTCACCACAAAACAAAACTAGAACACTGAATATATGACAAAACACGTGTAAGAAACATCAATCAAACCGTCTAGGAAAAATGATCGGGTAACAGAAATAGAATTGCAAATGACGAGACAAAATTATTTGGAGAAACTTAAAAATGAAGATAGGTTTAAATTAGGTTATCCTCAGTTCACCGAGAACCTCCTACATACATTTGTTACATAAGAAGAAAACATTTCGCGGACTTTTCCATAAACTGGAAAGAAAATAGATCAACCCTATGGGACGGAGGATTTATCATTTGTGAAAACTCTGCATATCCCGTTATTTCGCTTAAACCTTAAATTTTATGCTACCAGAGCCTAATTGGTTTCAAAAAGTAAGTCAATGATAGCGGAATTTGGAGAATTATGCAGCGTAAAAATTGACAGCCCGTATTAAGGAACACGTGAAGGAATTACTTTTTGTCAATATGAATTTAAATTGTACTGTGCACTACCTTAATCTTTCCTTAGACAGAAGGATGACATGAGATCTACATGTCAAAACGAAACTCTCAATAAACGACTCAAACTATTTTTTTCCAAATCTTCAAAAATAGAACTGAGACAAAAACCAAATCCATACCTATACTTACTTAAACCTATATGGACTTACTCATCACATATATAAGGTATAGCTGAAAAGACCCACTTGCACAAATTTCAGACTTTCCAATAAAAATTTCACGATTTATAACTAAAACACCTGCATAAGTGGCAAACAAAACGCCACATACCGACTTCCTCCTGCCTACAGTTGACCAACACATTAGAACTCTTACAAAGGATTTCACAACAATAAATACGGACATGCTAACATTTTAGTCAGAGATATAGCTTCAGCTGACATGCCTATTAATACGAGGAGTAGACTTAAAAGGTGCTGGATGAGAGACCTCCTTCCTTAACAAACTATGATAATTGATTCAAGTCAGGAAAGAGGTACTGCTGGGGGTTATCCTTCGCCATGCCTGACATGTAAAATTTGTAACTTTAATGAGACTATCTGCTAATTGTTAACAGTCGTCGACAGGTGCAGATTAGTATTAAAAGATAAAAAACAAAACATCAAATAGTAAAAAATGAATTTATTGCTAAGATAAAAATAATTTAAATCTGAGCTAAAAAAATATAAGAGAATTTATATTTGTTTGTAAGGATATATTTTGTTTAAAAGTTATGAATTCCGTGTTATTCACTTTTTAAATAACATAAAGGTGTATTTTTTTTTTTATTCGAAGAATACTTTTTTTTCCCTGCATAATCAGTTTGTGTAGTTTTTTTTTTCTGTAGAATCTATTACTACAGAAAGATAAAAGTCTTTCTATTCTCCTGATTTTGGTTTTCTTTACATCAAAAAGTTCATAAATTAGATCATTAACTAAAATCGTAGGTGCAGAGAACATATACACAACTACTGATTTAGTATAAAGGCTTCCACTTGATTTGAAATCTATATTTCTGTTTTAATATATATTTTTTTAATTACTTCATACAATTGTTTTTATTTTTCAGGATAATCTGAAAGAAAACGAAAAATTGATTGAAGCTAAGATTGAAATTTCTAATTACCTGAACATATCTGGCAACGTAGACGAAAATACATTCAATGATCTCATTATTAACAAAGAAAATAGAACCTATGAAGCTATTCTTCAAGCTGCATTCGATGGGAGATTAAATATAGTAAAATCTCTGATACAGCTCGGTGTAAATATTAATTCTCAAAGTGATTCTGGTCTAACCGCCTTACACATAGCTGCTTATATGGGATATGAGGACATGGTGACATTTCTGTTAATGAAAAATGCCACCATAAATGAAAAAGATAGATTTGGTTCTGAGCCAATTCATTACGCTGCGATCAAAGGCTCGGTTAATATCATTACAACATTGTTAGATCATGGAGTTGATGTTAATGTAAAAGGAGAGAATGGGATGGCTGCTTTACACCTTGCCGCGAATAATGGAGACCTAAATCTAGTAGAACTTCTTTTGGCCAGAAATGCAAGTACAAATATAAAAGATAACAACGGAACACTGCCAGTACAATTCGCGATTGATCAACGCCATATTTGTTTACTCAAGCTGTTTTTTGAACATGGATCGGATGTTAACACTAAAGGAACAAATGGGAAGACAGCATTACATCTAGCTGCGTGGGAGGGAGATCAAGGTTTGGTTGAATATCTTTTGGCTAAAAATGCAAGTATAAACATGAAAGATAACAACGGAACACTGCCAATACAATATGCGATTTATAAATGGCATGTCAATCTATTGATATTGTTTTTTGATCGTGGATCAGATGTTAACATCAAAGGAACTAAAGGGATAAATGATTGTAGTTTGCCTATTTCATGGATTGAAGAATATCCTCTAAGAAAAAATGTGAGAATAAATGAAGGATTTCTTGAATTACATGAAATTGAAGATGATAATAACGATGAATTACCAAGATGCAAGATAAACAAGAAAAAAGCAGGACATAGCAAGATGATTGACGATAATAATTATAATATTAACATATCAGTAGAAGGAATGACAGCGTTACATTTAGCGGCCGCGATAGGAAACGAGAATTTAGTCAAGTTTCTGATAAAGAAAAATGCCAACGTCAGAGCCAAAGACTGTAGGGGTAGAGAACCTATACATTATGCAGTTCAATATGAAAGAATAAACATAATAAGGATATTTCTGAACCATGGGGTTGACGTTGATGCCAAAGATTCACAAGGCTCTACTGCTCTGCATTTAGCGACGCAGATAGGTAGTGCTGAATTAGTGAATTACTTATTATCGAAAAATGTAACTATAAACATCAAAGATGACAATGGCCTGGCGCCGATACATATTGCGACCATAAGATCTGATGTCAATTTAATAAATATTCTTCTGGATCATGGTGCCGATATTGATGTTAGAGAGGAAAAAGAGACAACGCCTCTTCATTTTGCTGCTAAATTGGGTAATGAACGATTGGTCAACTTTCTTCTTTCCAAAAATGCAACCGTGAACATAAAAGATAATCATGGATATGCGCCGATACATTTTGCAGCTGAATGTGATCATATAAATGTGATTAAGATTTTGCTCGATCATGGAGCTGATATCAATGATCGAGATTCACTGGAAAAAACTGCCCTTCATTTGGCCGCTGAACAAGGTAATGACGACATGGTAAACTTTCTAATATCCAAAAATGCAACTATAAACATAAAAGATTATGACGGTTCTGAGCCGATTCATTTAGCGACTAAAGGGGGTTACATCAATGTAATTCGTATTTTGCTGGATCGTGGAGCCAATATCGATGACCGTGATGTCGGAGGAAGAACTCCTCTTTATTTGGCTGCACAAGGCAATGATGAATTGGTGAACTTTCTCATTTCAAGAAATTCGGCTATAGATATAAGAAACGACTATGGCTCTGCGCCGATACATATTGCATCTGAATTTGGTGCTACCAATGTGATGAGAATTCTACTGCTTCATGGAGTAAATATCGATGAAGCGAATGGGGAAGGGAAAACTGCCCTTCATTTAGCTGTTGAAGATTGTAATAAAGAATTATTAAATTTTCTAATATCGAAAAATGCTAACGTAAACATTAAAGACCAGCATGGTTCTGCACCGATACATTATGCAGTTGAATATGATTGTGATATCAATCTTTATAATATTTTGCTGAGTCATGGAGTTGATATCGATGTTGGAAATGCGAAAGGAAAAACAGCTCTTCATTTAGCTGTTGAACTAGGAAGTGAAGATTTGGTGAATTTTATAATATCAAATAACGCTACCGTAAATATGAAAGATAATCAAGGATCTACACCGATACATTCTGCGCTTAAAAAGGGTAATGTCAATGTGATAAATATTCTGCTGGATCATGGAGGCAATATCGATGGTAGGGATGCAAAAGGAAGAACCGCTCTTCATTTAGCTGCTGAGCAGGGTAGTGAAGCATTGGTGAATTTCCTAATTTCAAAAAATGCTACCATAACAATAAAAGACTATAAAGGTTCCGCCCCAATACACTACGCTACGCAAAATAAAAATTTGAATGTTCTAAAGGTTTTCTTAAATCATGGGGTTGACATCAATGAGAGAGGAGCTAGAGGTTCTACGCTTATACACATGGCAATTGAAAATGAAAATGAAAATTTAGTTACATTTTTAATATCGAAAAATGCTAGACTCGACATAAATGATAAATGGGGTGCTGTTCCTTTTCAAATAGCAATTGATAAGGAGAAGGTTAATCTGATAAAGGCTCTATTACAATCTGGAACCGAAGTTGATGCTAACCTCAAAGGAAAGAAAGGGCTCACAGCACTTCACATCGCTGCTTATTATGGTAGCGAAGAACTAGTGAACATACTGATATCAAAAAATGCCAGTTTAGAAGTGAAAGATAACCATGGTGGTAGACCATTACATTATGCCGTTCTAAGGAACTACATAGGCATATTAAAAATATTGCTACGCAACGGTGCCGATGTTAATGCAAGAGGAAAACATGGCGTAACATGTTTACACCTTGCAGCAGGAGATGTAAAAGAGGAAATGGTACAATTGCTCTTGTCAAACAACGCTAGCCTAGAGATCAAAGACATTATGGGTTCGCAGCCTTTACATTATGCATTTTTTGGTCACAGTATTGATGTCATTAAGATTATGGTTGAGCACGGAGCTAATCTCAGTGCCAGAGGTTATAGTGATCTAACTCCAATTCATTTTGCTGCCGAGATGGGTGATCTAGATGTTTTGAATTATCTATTTTCTAAAAATATTAGCTTCGATGTTAAAGACAACAGAGAAAATGAGCCCATACATCGAGCACTTTTGAGAAAGCATCCTCAGGAAGAGGTAGTTAAAACTCTTCTTAATCATGGAACTGATGTCAATGCCAAAGGCACATTGGGTTTTACACCACTTCATATAGCCGCAGAGAAAGGTTTATATGATGCTGTAAAATTGTTACTCTCAAGAAATGCTGATCCTAATGTCATGAGCTATAACGGCCGGACGCCTCTAGAATTAGCCACTCAGTTCGGTAGTTTAGACATCGTCAAAATACTTCTTGATCACGGGGCAAAAGTCGAAGACCGCAGTTTCCTCGGATCGCAGGCTCTTTTCCTGGCCGTTGAGAACAGATCTTTGGAGTTTACATGGTTACTTCTTGAAAAAACAGACAAATTTGAAGAATATCCTACAAATATCCTCAATTTCGCAATTACTAAAGGTTCATTGGATAAAGTAAAACTATTAACATCGTTCGGAGCAAATGTTGAATCCGTAGACATTTATGGTAATTATCCTCTCTCGACTGCTGTGATATCTCGTAATAGCGATATAATAAAAATAGTTATAGAGACGGAGGTGAAAAAGAACAAATCAGAAAATGATTTTAAAAACTTCTTGGATGTAACTTCTTCGATTCGATTAATCGGTTTTAATAAAAACTCAACCGAACGTCACAACATGAGTGCTTTACAAATCGCTTCTTATCACGGTTATGTGAATTCGGCAAGACTGCTAACTTCTTATGGCTCTTCTTTAGATACCAGAGATGAAAGAAATTACACCTCTCTCCATTACGCCTGTTTATCTGGTCAGGAAGAAATTGTGAAATTACTATTAAATGCTGGTGCACACAAAGATACATTTGATGTCGATGGTGTGACTCCATTACACATTGCCTCCAAAAAGGGATTCAATGAAATAGTCAGTCTTTTACTTCTAGATCCTTTAGCTTCTGTTAATTTAGTAGACCATAGAGGATACACTGCTCTTCACGATGCAGCAAGTATGGGGCATGGGAATATAGTAACACAGTTACTGAAGGCCGGGTCTAACAAAAACGCTATTGATAAAGACCTCAGAACTCCTTTAATATTAGCTTCTACGGAAGGCCATACTGATGTTGTAAAACTATTATTAAACGCCGTAAGCAATAAAGAAGCTGCCGACATCCACAATATGACACCATTACACTTCGCTTCTAAGGAGGGGCACTCCGACATAGTGGATCTCTTACTGGAGTATGGGTCTGAGGTAGACAGCAGAAACGAAAACGGAAGTACCCCATTACACTTGGCTTGCGAAAAAATTATACACGATAAACGAAACACAACTTCTATCATCAGTAATAAAACTAATATTGTAGATATCCTGATAAGATCTGGTGGCTATGTTGAAGCTATTGATATGTTCGATAGGACTCCTTTGCATATTGCTTCGCGAGATGGTTATACAACTATTGTGGATTTAATATTATCTCACAGACTTAAACCTGACAGAACTCCTGACAAATTTGGTTGGTTGCCACTTCATTATGCCGCTGAACAAGGTCATTATGATGTAGTTCGAAAGTTAATTAGAAAAGGAGCAAATCGTGAAGCGCCCAACAATAATTTGGAAACGGCTTTGATTTTGTCTTCAAGGAATGGTCACTTGGAAGTAGTAAGATTTTTAATTTCCACAGCAGATTTGGATAAAATCGATCTCAAAGGCAGAATAGCTTTACACTACGCCTCCATGAATGGTCACACATCAGTGGTTAAGTTGCTTATAAAAGGTTTAACGAACAAAGACATGGAAGACAAGTGGGGATTCACTCCATTGCATTACGCAGCTTCTTGGAGAGGCCACCAGGACAGTATAGGATATTTATCGAAATCCTGGATGGAAATAACATTTTCAGAATATTATGAAATGTCCAATCCTTATAAATGAATTACTTTTTTCCCTCTGTTCAAACTCCTGAGGGTGAACTTTTGATTTGTGACAGACACAAAGCGACATGTGAATCATTCATCCTGGATTCACCGGCTAGTGACTTAAATTTATATATTGTTTATGTTAATTACAAAAATGGTTATTAATAAATTAATATGAAAATATGATTGTGGAATTAAAAAGCATTTTTATTGTTCTCCATTTATTAAATAATAGAATTCTATTTTAAAAAATCCCACTTTTAGTAGAAATTCGTTGTTTTAAAATTAATAATCCTTGTAAATACTACTTTAATTATAAATAATTACAAACTCAAAACGGTTAATATAAATTATGTTAATTCTATTCAAAAAATGCATTTCTGGATCTATCCCATACATACCCCATGCCTCTTAGATCTTTCTCCGACAGTTGTTGTGATCCCGTGTAGCAACCAACCTATCCTGAACGCTTAGTAGGACAGGATCTATTGCATCCTACCAGGATACCACCTCTAGTCGCATCTGTGAATTCGATACAACCGCCTCACTGATATAAATCACGTATTTGTCCCAAATAAATACAAATAAAACTTTTATTGCCTTCATTAAGTAAATATCAATTTAATTCATGAAAATTAAAATTTAAAATCATTATTCTTAAAAAATTCCAGCAACAAAAAAATGACAATAACATTAATTTCTACAAAAAAAAACTCTGAAGGAATAATTAATGACAAATGCGCCTCCAATCGTCACCTGGATGAAACAATTAGAGGAAGGTTACACTGTCCTGAATTTAGGTGATCCTATTCGACCGGAGAGAGAAATATCGACTATTAAAAGCGTTTCAGAAGCGTTACTGATTACTAAAAAGCGTTACTGACCTTGACTGCGTTTCTTCTAGATTACTTGTGTCCTATATCATTGACGCTTCGCTGCTGAAAGATTGTCCCTTCTTTGGTCTTCACCAACCTTTAACTATCTCAAGGTACTTTATGTCCAATAAAATAGTCTCCAGATGTATAGGAATTTTCTCTTTAGAAGAATGACCCTCAATTTTTGGCCGCTGATCGCTAGTTGGAATCACGTTCCTGTGCTCTTCCATAACCTTGGGCAGAGATCTCTCAATTGTACTTTTTGTAATGCACTCATACACATCCGAAGACAAAAGCGTCTTTTTAATTTTCATTCTGTAATCTGTATAACGATGTGTCTGGGTCTCAACGATATCAAACAACTTCTTATTTTACCGTTGGTGTGCTTCCGTTTCTGCGTGTTGTTTCGAACGAGAAATATGTACAAATTAGCTTTTTCGGGTTTTCTAGCATTGTGGAGAAGGACCTCGCTAGTCCCCTTATCAAGCTGAACTGCTCTCTCTATTCGAATATCTGGGATACATCCTTAATATTTTTGCTGTATCAGGCCCTTTCGAATCTCTAATTTTCTTTAGCACTTTTAAGATATCGATATTTTATTTTACCATCCACTCTACTACATTTGCATTTGAATCATTCATAACTATTAACAGTATCTATTGATCTAGGTCATAATAATCTTTAAATATTCAACAATAATATCTTACGCGCAAAACTTTGTTTATCGCTTCTGTCAGTACCTGAGGTCGTATGTAAAAATTTAGTTTTTTTTAAATAAAACCTGATTATTGCTCATCATATTATTTCATATGATTATTGGTCTATAATTAATTAATATAATTTCATATGTTATTACTCTCTGCTATTTGCTAGAGTAGAAAATTACTTATTGCAGTGGCAAACAAAAAAATGTCACTTTTAGCACAAATAAAATGAACATAAAAATTGTTACATACGACCTTTTGCACTAATGCTAGCTATATACTAATTCTTGGCGTTCGTCGCAAAGGCAGACCATGGCTTCGCTGGCAGTTATATATCCCTTCACACCCCCAAGCCCTCCTTGTTAGCATTGGATAGAGATAACTGGCGTCAACATTGAACCAGGTGAAGACTCAACAGAGGGTCGTAGAGCCGATAGAAGAAGTAGTAATATCCAAAAAATAAAATAAATTAGAAAAAAAAACCTGTCCATGAAATTTAATTAGTTTTTTCTTATGAACTCTCAAGACCGTAAAGCCACAAGTAACTAATTTAATGAATGTCTTATTTATGAATAGGTTTAGTGAAAATAACTTGTTATGGTCTTTAATTTAGAAAAATTGTTTCCGCAACAAACTTGCCGGATGCGGAGACGGCAGGGTTCGCAAAAAAAAAAAAAATAAATAATCAAGGGTCAATTAAATATTAATAAGTATCTAACAGGCGCCTCGCTATTTAATTTGTTGAATTTGGAAAATAGTGAAAACCATAAAAATAAATAAATATATTTAATTTAAAAAAAAAAAAAGATTAGGACGCGGAGTGAGCTACGAACTCAGAACCTATGGGTTTAAAAACATATCTTAATTAACCTCACAACCTTTGGAAACTTCTTACTTGGTTAATAATGACTTTTCCTAATTCCCTGAATAGGGTTTTACAATTCCTTATTAAACCTAAAAAAAAAACATATATAATATATACACAAAACGTGAATACAAACTGAAGAAAAAGAAGAAAATAAAACTGGCTATTAATAATAATCATGAATTTACTTATTTCTATTGATTTAAATAACTGGTAAAGGAAATAAAAATTATGAACAAGAAATTAGATTCATAATAAAACAAATAAAATGCAACTAACTTTAATTATCAAAGAAAAGAATATAAAATTATTATAGAACTAAACATTAACCTACAACTATACAATATACCAATTACAAACATTTGGAAATAAAAATAGATACAAAAAAACTTATATGTACATATTTACAAAATCTCAATGCCGAACTTTGTCCAATTGACACATTGAGTTATCTGAGGAAGCGGTAACTTATTCCAGTTAGCGTCGTCTGTGACTCCCCAGTCCACGTCTTTAAACTGTGAAGATGTTCATTCACCAACTTGTAAAATAAAATGGCACTCGCCGCTGATAATCACAGGTTCATGGATAGGAAAAGAAAATTCCGTGTACACCGTAAAACTAAAGTATTTCACACAACCAAATCCTAAGCGTGCCTCAACATTCGCGAAGTTCCGCCATCTTTCTCTCTGAACTGTCTTTTGTTTTTACTCTCAATCAGCTGTTGGTTATTCCAATCCGAAATAAAATAAATACTTAAAACTAAGACTTATTATAAACTATAATACTTATTATTAAAACTAATACTAAATACTTAATTTTATATTTAACCCTCTTTGAGCTAATAAAAAAAAACTAACAATTATTTTGCGAACTAATTTTTTTTTTTTTCGTCACAAACTTTTAAATTACATAATAGTATAATTCATACTTTTTCATTAAACTTTAGCACTTAAAAAGTTAAATATAATACGAATAAATATAAATTTTAATTTTATCCAGAAACAAACTTACCACCAACGTTTACGGTTGGTTAGCCTATCTTTACAGATCTAGTGTAGTATCAGGTGATGCTGTAGAATATGATAATAGCAAACACATTTTATTGTATAGTATTTATCATAAAGATATGCCATTTTATATATATATATATATTTTGTGCAGAAAAATGTTATCTTTTAAATTTTTTTCTATACCTTACATTATAAAACGATTTTAGTATGGAATATATCTATAATATTGATGGATCCAATATCATTTATTTTTTCTGTAACAGCGGTATAAGATTATAAAGTTTTGATAATAATAAAAAGTGATCGAATTCCAAAAAGATCATAGACTAAGAATTTAAAAGTCACAAAAGAAATGTTGTTTTTAAAGTCGATTTAAATTTTCTATAAATAAATGTAGAAAATAAAAGACATGGATCGAACACTGAACTTGGACCAGTCGACCTTCAGTCCAGATCCAGCAATATCATGGAGAACATGGCAGCGTCTTCTCTGTTCTTCGTCATTCTGCTTTGTCTTCCAAGTCTCATTCCTTCCGTAAGTCAATAACAATGAACTTTTATGACTTTATAATTATCTAATTTTTTGAAATTAATTAAAGTCATTCAGTTGAGGCTATATCTAAAAATATTAGTTCGTTTTTAAAATTATACCAAACATTAGAAATAGTTATACAGGGCGTTTTAGGAATAAATGTCTTAGCTAAAAATATGGATCAAGGTCACAACAAAATTTTAAAAAATCCTAAGAAGGTATGTCCGTTATCGCGCTTTGTTCAGGAGATATTAGACAGATAAGATTGAATACTCATATGACCTTGTTTCTCTAACTATACCTAAAATATTAACAGTTTAAGTATTAATGCTGTTCGGATTTGACGCTTTTGCATCGTACTCATCATTATGCCTTCCATTTATACTGATGGTGAATGTGCCGATCTGATTTGGTTTAATGATTTGTATTTTGGTTTATTATTTTCAGTAAATTCCAAAAAAAAAATAAACCTCCTCCTCAAAATTTAAGATTTTACGTTTCAGGATACGTAGAACTCGAAAATCGAATGCACAAATTTTGTCCATCCCCGCATTTTCTCCGAGACTAGTGGACCAATTTTTGTTCAAATTTGGAATCCACGTCAGAAGCCACCCTAGGGCAATCCTGCTACCTCCACATAACTATTCGCCCTTTCCTTTAAAGGAGGCGGCTGAAAGATCTGTGTTAGTATAAACTGTAGGAGCTAACGAATGTACCGATTTCAATGAAACTTGCCTAAAGTCTCCTACTCGATGCCTTTTAAATATATGTGTAGAACATACCTCACCGAAAAGTATTGGCATTTTAATATAGCGGCCGAGAGACCTGTGTCTTATAGACAGTAACGCCCGAACGGATGTACCGACGTTAATGATACGTGGCTGAAGTATTCTCCTCGTTGTCTTTTAAATCTATTTATATAACATACTTCAACGAAAAGAAGCTGCGAAAAAAGTTACGAGTGGTTGTAAAATTATATTTACGAATAAATAAAAAAGTATACATGTTTTGTTATTTTTAAGATCAGACGCTCAAAAGGTATTTAAATTTCCTAAAAAACGAAAAATGTTTCATCGAAACATTAGAGCACTGTTATTAATATTCCAGTAAAATCGGGTATATTATCTTGCAAAAGGTCGATTAATTAAAATTTCTTTTTTATATAGTTAGATGTGCAGTGACTATAAAAAATCCAAGTTTTCGCCCTTGAAAGCCTTGTGGGTTCGCTGCGGTATCCCAAAAACCATTGAAAACTCGAACATTTTTGGTTTATGCTGAATATCTCCTGCTACAAAGTGAGGATAGTCGCAATGTGCAAGTTCAGTAGCAATTGAAAATAAAGTTGTTTTCACTATGATAAACCTCGTTTCCTTAGTCCAAATCTGCTGACTTGCCAATCGATTCAAATAAATCTTTCTTTCTGATAAAATGGTCTTCACCATAATAAACCTGCATCGTCCTCTTAATATCATCCAAACTGCTCCTCCCAGCATTTGACCCGCTTTTAGCAGCATCTTGAAATATTCTGTTCATCTGTCTACTATATATTCGTTTAGCCATTTAATGGATACTGATCATTGTTTTCTTTTCTGAGATTTTGGCACTTCCTTTCTCGTTCGCTTAATGTATTTTTTCCAATTTTTCGGTTCAATTTCGCGTTTTCCTCATTTTGAGATCAAATGCTAACAATCAATTCCGGTTACCTTGAAGAACTTAAAGCTTCGCCCTTTCCATCTTTCTTTGTACAGAAAAAATACTGCTTCCAATATTAAAACTTCCTATGTTTTCTGATATGGTTCGAGTTCAGAACAAATTAAAGAAAATAGAAATTAATTGTATTATTACTGATATATGAGTTTTACTAAATAACCTATCAATTATTGATTATATGTAGTTCAGATAAGGTATATATTATTTTAGTTTATGAAACAGGTATTAATATGACTTCTTTCCCGGGAGGTATATACAATTTAAATTACCTCTAAGAATTATTAAATATGCAAAACAAAGTGTAAAATTGCTAACGTTAACAAAAAATTCAAGATATCGAGCAAAATATTTTTTTTATTTTATCATTATAACCATAGAGGCCTTCTTAAACGACCTCTGTATAGAATAAAGGAAATTAAATTTTTTTAAATAAATAAAGTAATATATTTGAAAAAAAATGTTTAATTTTTTTGGATAATTAAATTATTGCATTAATATTTGTTCAGTAAAACAATCAATATAACGTACAGAAAACGTTATTATAGGACTATAACTAAACCATTTATGAGTACTGAACGGAGTGGTAGAGGCCTGCAGGCACCTACGCCAGCACAGGCGGATTTACGGGGGGAAGGTGGGGACTTTCGGGCTGAAGCCCCTCTCCCCCAAAATGGTAAAATGTAACTATGTTTTATCGTAAAAAATATTAAAAAATTATGTCTTAAAGTATTATTGCTCGTTTAATTACATATAGTAGGACTTCAATAATCACTTAAACACCATTTCATATAGGTAGTTGGTATCTTTTTGTTTATCCAAAGTAATTATCGTTATATATATGAAAAAAAAACTTCCAGGCTGAAACCCCCCCAAAAAAAACATTAAATCCTGGATCCGCTAGTGTACGCCAGTACCGCTTTTCTGCCGCTCAAGTTCTACGCTGCAGTTCTACGAAACTGTTTCAAATATTTTAAAAAGTAATCAGTGTTTTAGAAAGGAAAATATGTTCTCCAGATGTTTTATTTCATCACGTTTTGCGTTATTGTTGGCTGTTTAATTACAAACGACGCTTGATTTTCAAATTGAAAATTTGTATGTTAAAACCATTGAATTTACTAGTGTTTTTTATTGCTAAGCCTATTATTTCTTCATGTTTTATTGTTCTCTGACTATCCAGCTTTAATAAAAGACCAACTATGACGAAATTAAGCCAAATGCTGATTCTCAGTGACCAAAATATTAACTAAAGTAAAAATCGTCAGTCGTCCATGTTTGGACGCCATTTTGGGGCGTCGTTCTGTTTTTTTTTTGTTATTTTGTGGGAACGTTGGCTTTTTTTTAATAAATAGGTAGAAGGAACAAAACGATATGCAATTTATAGGGATGTGGCGGGTGCATGTTAGGTGGTTCTGGTCCACCTTCTATATATTTAATCTTAAACAGCTCAAAATTATCTAACATTTTTGTACGTAACATTTTTTTTTTTCAAATCCAAGAGTAAGCAAAGTATCGAGCTTTCAATATTTACCCATTTCGATTTATTCACAATAGTGCTCTTTCAGTTTTGAACAGAAAAATCATGCAACGCCATTTTGAACATCGTTTAGAGAATTTGGTGTTTTTTCTTGAAGACAATAAGCCATTGACTGGAACGGTAAACGGTAGTCGGGAAGTGTTTGGAAAAGTAAGTTACACCGTGCGCCAGACCCTCCTACCGAGCACTCTACTCGCACACCTCAATAAATTGCATTTAGTTGTGTTCCTTGTAATTCTTCATTAAATAAAAGTCAATTTTCGCACAAAAAAGCGGTGGCACTGTTCCAAATGTCGTTCAAACATAGCAGATTGAGTTAGTTTTTCGGTGACTGAGTTTCTGTATTTGTCTTAATTTCGCAATAACTGGCCTTTGATTCAAGCTGGATAGTTGTAAAGCAGTAAAACATGAAAAATTGTAAAAAATAATTGGCCTGGGCAATAAAAAAACTATAATACTTCGACACAATATTTCCTACAATAAAGCAGTTATGTTTTACTACAGAAACTATACCGAAAGGCTTTTTATTCTTCTGATCCAGATTCCTGTGGCATCTAAAAACCATAAATTAAATCTTTGACTAAAATCATAGGTGTAAAGACACAGTTTCTGAATTAGGAAAAAATCCTACTTAATTATCATTCCATATTTGTATTTTAATATTTTAAAAAAATATGTAATATAAATGTTTTTTTTCAGGTTTATCTGGAAAAACAAAAAAACATATTTGAAGATAAGATTGAAATATGTAATTATCTAAACATATCTGGCAACTTAGATGAAGATACATTCAATGATCTAATTAGTAGCAAAGAAAATAGAACACATAAACCTATTCTTCAAGCTGCATTCGAAGGACGTTTAAATATAATAAAGTATCTGATACGATTCGGTGTAGATATTAATTCTCAAAGTGATTCTGGTCTAACGGCGCTTCATGTAGCGATTCTAAAAGGATATCTAGACTTATTCACATTTCTTGTCTCGAAAAATGCCAATCTCGAACTCAAAGACACCAGGGGAGAGACACCTTTGCACCTGGCTGTCATGTATAGTAATCTGAATATGGTAAAAATGTTAATACATCAAGGTGTTAATGTAAACGCCCTGACATCAGAAAATAAAACAGCACTGGACTTGGCAGCCTGTACGGGAAACGACTTAATTTTCGAATTTATTTTAAAGACGAATGGTAAGCTTAACTCTATGAACCGAGATTGTGACATCGATGGTCCAATACATTGTGCAGTTGTAAATCGATCCCGATACATTGTCAACGCCTTACTAAATTTGGGAACTGATATAAATGAAAAGGGTTACAAAGGTAGGACTGCTTTACATATAGCCGCAGAGATAGGAAACGAGGACATGGTAAAATTTCTCTTGATGAAAAATGCCACAATAGATGAGAAAGATATATTCGGTTCTGAGCCAATTCATTACGCAGCGAACAATGGTTGGTTCAATATCATTACAACATTTTTAGATCATGGAGTTGATGTTAATGTAAAAGGTGAGAATGGAATGACTGCTTTACACCTGGCCGCGAAGAATGGAGACCTAAATCTAGTAGAACTTCTTTTGGCCATAAATGCAAGTACAAATATAAAAGATAACAACGGAACACTGCCAGTACAATTCGCGATTGATCAACGCCATATTTGTTTACTCAAACTGTTTTTTGAACATGGATCGGATGTTAACACTAAAGGAACAAATGGGAAGACAGCATTACATCTAGCTGCGTGGGAGGGAGATCAAGGTTTGGTTGAATATCTTTTGGCTAATAATGCAAGTACAAACACAAAAGATCACAACGAAACACTGCCAATAGAATTCGCGATTTACCAAGGGCATATAAATCTATTGATGATGTTTTTTGAGCATGGATCTGATGTTAACAGCAAAGGAACAAAAGGGTTGAATATCTGTAATTTTCCTAGGTCGTGGATAGAAGAATTACTATTTCAAATGTCAAATGAAGATGACAATAACTGTAAACTTCCACAACAATGCATGAAAAATCTTAGAGCAAGAGAAAAACATAAGGTTGTAAAAGACCACAGTTTTGACAAAAACTTACATGTAGAAGGAATGGCAGCCATACATTTAGCGGCTGCGACAGGAAAGGAGGATTTAGTCAAGTTCCTTATAGAGAAAGATGCCAATCTCAGAGCCAAAGACTGTAGGGGTAGAGGACCTTTACATTATGCAGCCCAATATAAAAGACTAAACATTATAAGGATCTTGCTAGATCATCAGGTCGACATTGATGCCAAAGATTCACGAGATTGTAGTGCCCTCCATTTAGCGACTCAGACAGGTAGTGCTGAACTGGTGAGTTGCCTAATATCAAATAATGCTACAGTAAACATAAAAGACGAATATGACTCCACACCCTTGCATCATGCGGCTGAATGTGGTTACATCGATGTGGTTAGTCTTTTATTGGATAATGGAGCCAATATCAATATGGGCGATGTAAAGGGTTCAAGTTCTCTTCATTTAGCTGCGAAATTAGGTAGCGAACAAGTGATGGTCCTTCTGATATCAAACAATGCCACCATAAACATAAAAGATGACTACGGCTCTCCACCGATCCATTATGCGGCTGAGTGTGATCATATCAATGCGATAAACGTATTGCTAAATTATAAAGCCAATATCGAAGACACGGATGGAACTGGAAAAACCGCTCTTCATTTAGCTGCTAAACAAGGAAGCGGAGAATTGGTAAACTTTCTTATGCTGAAAAATGCAACAGTAAATGTAAAAGACGATTATGGCTCTGAACCGATACATTATGCTGCTCAATATCGTGCAATTAACGTGATAAGTATTCTCCTAGGTCATGGAGCCAATATCGACGATGCGGATGGGAAAGGGAAAACTGCCCTTCATTTAGCTGTTGAACAATGTAGTAAAGAATTATTAAAGTTTCTAACATCGAAAAATGCTAACGTAAACATTAAAGACCAGCATGGTTCTGCACCGATACATTATGCAGTCCAATATGACTGTGATATCAATGTGTACAGTATTTTGCTGAATCATGGAGCTGATATCGATGTTGGAAATGTCAAGGGAAGAGTAGCTCTTCATTTAGCTGCTGAACAAGGAACTCAAAATTCGGTAGTCTTTCTAATATTAAATAATGCCACCGTAAACATAAAAGACAACCACGGTTCTGCGCCGATACATATTGCGGCCATTCGTGGTGATGTCAATGTAATAAATATTCTGCTGGATCATGGAGGCAATATCGATGCAAGGGATGCAAAAGGAAGAACCGCTCTTCATTTGGCTGCTGAGCAGGGTAGTGAAGCATTGGTGAATTTCCTAATTTCAAAAAATGCTACCATGACAATAAAAGACAATAAAGGTTCTGCCCCTATACACTACGCTACGAAAAATAAAAATGTGGATGTCCTAAATGTTTTTATAAATCATGGGGTCGACATCAACGAGATAGGAGCCAGGGGTTGGACAGCTATCCACATGGCAATTGAAAATGAAAATGAAAATTTAGTTACATTTTTAATATCGAAAAATGCTAGACTCGACATAAATGATAAATGGGGTGCCGTTCCTTTTCAAATAGCAATTGATAGAGAGAACGTTAATCTGATAAAGGCTCTATTACAATCTGGAACCGAAGTTGATGCTAACCTCAAAGGAAAGAAAGGGCTCACAGCACTTCACATCGCTGCTTATTATGGTAGCGAAGAACTAGTGAACATACTGATATCAAAAAATGCCAGTTTAGAAGTGAAAGATAACCATGGTGGTAGACCATTACATTATGCCGTTCTAAGGAACTACATAGGCATATTAAAAATATTGCTACGCAACGGTGCCGATGTTAATGCAAGAGGAAAACATGGCGTAACATGTTTACACCTTGCAGCAGGAGATGTAAAAGAGGAAATGGTACAATTGCTCTTGTCAAACAACGCTAGCCTAGAGATCAAAGACATTATGGGTTCGCAGCCTTTACATTATGCATTTTTTGGTCACAGTATTGATGTCATTAAGATTATGGTTGAGCACGGAGCTAATCTCAGTGCCAGAGGTTATAGTGATCTAACTCCAATTCATTTTGCTGCCGAGATGGGTGATCTAGATGTTTTGAATTATCTATTTTCTAAAAATATTAGCTTCGATGTTAAAGACAACAGAGAAAATGAGCCCATACATCGAGCACTTTTGAGAAAGCATCCTAAGGAAGAGGTAGTTAAAACTCTTCTTAATCATGGAACTGATGTCAATGCCAAAGGCACATTGGGTTTTACACCACTTCATATAGCCGCAGAGAAAGGTTTATATGATGCTGTAAAATTGTTACTCTCAAGAAATGCTGATCCTAATGTCATGAGCTATAACGGCCGGACGCCTCTAGAATTAGCCACTCAGTTCGGTAGTTTAGACATCGTCAAAATACTTCTTGATCACGGGGCAAAAGTCGAAGACCGCAGTTTCCTCGGATCGCAGGCTCTTTTCCTGGCCGTTGAGAACAGATCTTTGGAGTTTACATGGTTACTTCTTGAAAAAACAGACAAATTTGAAGAATATCCTACAAATATCCTCAATTTCGCAATTAGTAAAGGTTCATTGGATAAAGTAAAATTATTAACATCGTACGGAGCAGATGTTGAATCCGTAGACATTTATGGTAATTATCCTCTCTCGACTGCTGTGATATCTGGTAATAGCGATATAGTAAAAATAGTTATAGAGATGGAGGTGAAAAAGAATAGATCGAAAAAGGATTTTAAAAACTTCTTGGATGTAACTTCTTCGATTCGATTAATCTCTTTTAATAAAAACTCAACCGAACGTCACATCATGAGTGCTTTACAAATTGCTTGTTACCATGGATATGTGAATTCGGCAAGACTGCTAACTTCTTATGGCTCTTCTTTAGATACCAGGGATGAAAGAAATTACGCCTCTCTCCATTACGCCTGTATATCTGGTCAGGAAGAAATTGTGAAATTACTATTAAATGCTGGTGCTGACAAAGATACATTTGATGTCGATGGTGTGACTCCATTACACATTGCCTCCAAAAATGGATTCAATGAAATAGTCAGTATTTTACTTCTAGATCCGGTAGCTTCTGTTAATTTAGTAGACAATAGAGGATACACTGCTCTTCACGATGCAGCAATTATGGGGCATGGGAATATAGTAATACAGTTACTGAAGGCCGTGTCTAACAAAGACGCTATTGATAAAAACCTCAGAACTCCTTTAATATTCGCTTCTATGGAAGGCCATACTGATGTTGTAAAACTATTATTAAACACTGTAAGCAATAAAGAAGCTGCCGACATCCACTATATGACACCCTTACACTTCGCTTCTAAAGAGGGGCACTCCGACATAGTGGATCTCTTACTGGAGTATGGGTCTGAGATAGACAGCAGAAACGAAAACGGAAGTACCCCAATGCATTTGGCTTGCGAAAAAATTATAGACGAAAAAAGAAACACAAATTCCATCATCAGTATTAAAACTAAGATCGTAGAAATCATTATAACGTCTGGTGGCTATGTTGAAGCTATTGATATGTTCGATAGGACTCCTTTGCACATAGCTTCGCGAGATGGTTATGCAACTATTGTGGATTTAATATTATCTCACCAAGTTAACCCTGACAGAACTCCTGACAAATTTGGTTGGTTGCCTCTACATTATGCTGCGGACCAAGGTCATGATGATGTTGTTCGAAAGTTAATTTGGAAAGGAGCAAATCCTGAAGCACCTAACAATAATTTGGAAACTGCTTTGATTTTGTCTTCAAGGAATGGTCACTTGGAAGTTGTAAGATTTTTAATTTCCACAGCAGATTTGGATAAAATCGATCTCAAAGGCAGAATAGCTTTACACTACGCCTCCATGAATGGTCACACATCAGTGGTTAAGTTGCTTATAAAAGGTTTAACGAACAAAGACATGGAAGACAAGTGGGGATTCACTCCATTGCATTACGCAGCTTCTTGGAGAGGCCACCAGGACAGTATAGGATATTTATCGAAATCCTGGATGGAAATAACATTTTCAGAATATTATGAAATGTCCAATCCTTATAAGTGAATTACTTTTTTCTCTCTCTTCAAACAACTCCTGAGGGTAATCTTTAGATTCATGTTATACAGACACAAAGCTATGTGTGTATCATGCATTCTGGATTCACCTTCTAGTGACTTTAAATTTATATATTGTTTATGTTAATTACAACAAATGAGATATTAATAAATTTATAAAGTATACATGTATAATGAATAAGTTTTTTTTTTTATAGTTCTGTGATTATTAAATAATAAACAACCTTCCGTATTATTCCACTTTCAGTATAAATTTTTTTTATAATTAGCAAGCCTTATGAATATTACTTCAATTATAAAGAACCACTAAGTGAAAACAATCATTATAAATTGTGTTAATTTTGTGCAAAAATACATTCATACGTGACTCTTCCTTAGTATATCGTTAGTGCTCATGTAAGGTACATGGCGAGTCCTTCTCTTTCTTCGTCACAAAACCGGCTCTATTCGCTTCTGTACCTCCGATGCAACAGTCGGGCCTCTAGAGGTCACTTTTCATGTTTTCTAAGAACAGCATCCCTAATAATCTCTACTGAAAGGCATTACTGTATTTGAGAGCGTGGTGAGTCCAAAGTGGACATTAAGAGACCCAACGCTCAAAAATACGTAGATGTGGCTAATGAATTATGCATAACCGTGGACCGATTCCTTGCTACAAATTCGCACGTCGTAGCACCTCTTTAACAAGATGTACCATCCAATCATCACTTCAAGGTTCGAGTTGTTAACCACTGCACCTCTCTCCACTGTCCAGAGTTATTACTCCGGACGCGCTGCCGAATCCTGTGACTCTGTTCCTTGGAGAGGGTGGAGGATTAATGCCAGAATGCCCCGGCACGGAGACTGGAACTAGTAATCTTTAGTTTTTCAGATTGCTGGCCACCTCGTCCCCTTGGCAGCATACCATGTGCAAATCAAAGAATGCGTAATCAAGCAAGTTGTGATGTAAAAGAGCTCGTTCAGAAGGCAAAGAGCTTTCCCGAATCGGCAAAGACTCGAGTTCTAAGATTTTGGTAGTAAAAAGGCTGATTATAGTAAATACTTTTTTATTTTTTCAGTTACCTTTAAATGTAATATATAGTAAGGGAAAGTATTGCGATCGTGAAAATTTTCGATTCTGAAAATTTTCAATGGAAATACACGTTTTGAGGTTCCTTGAGTCCAAATAACCGAGCCCCGTGGTTTGTATGTGTATGTGAACAATCCAGCGCAAAAACTAAAGGCTTACGAATACGTATTTAAGGTTTGCATATGCATCAGATGTTGAAGCAACTTTTTCGTCAAAATCCACTAACCTAAAGTGATACTTTATATCATCGATCTAAAACATTTTTAAATACGACTCTAACGATTTTGATAAAATTAGGTGTATGAATGTATAATTAAGAAATCTTTAACATCATTCAAGTCTTCTAATAACTGATGTCGGTTAACAGAGCTTAAATGCAAGATGTTCAAATTGTCTTCCTCTAAAGTACCTTTAATTTGGTTTATATTAAATAATTAACTATTTATCATTGTTAGGAGTTATAATAAAAGGCTAAATATAACTTTTGAAAGAATTTGATAATTAAATAAAGGAGAAAAAAAGAAAAATGCTTATCCAGGTCGAAAATGAATCCCCGGAAATAATATTCAGAAGGTATAAGAAGTAAAATATTTCGTTGGGAAGTGGAGAATTTTAGAAAAAATAATATATAATAAATAAAGTTGTAGATGATAACTGAGAGTAAAATATAAATAATAATTTCTAAAAACTAACATTATTTAACGTAAATCACAGGTTTCCAAGCAAATTAAATGAAATTTTCTCACTAAATGTAAACGTTTAATGTTTTTTCTAAGTTTGAAAACAAAATATTTAAAATCTACCAAACCACGCCAATGACATTGTTCAAAATACTATTTCAGTGTATTTGTGTGTTTCTTTTGATTACATGATAACATTTTAAATATTTTTTTTTAAATATGAGATTTAGCAAATTACTCGCACATGAAGTTACTATAACATGTTCTATCGTCAGTTTATTCAGAAAAATCATGTAGCTTTTTAGAAAATTAAATTAGTGAATAATTTGATGAACTTTTCCTTTGTGACATCCCTACATTATCCACTTACAATCAGTGTCACCACTTTTGACCTATCTGTGACATGCAATGAAAATCTCGTAATTTCATTTTAGTCAACTTTGCAATGGAAAATAACAGTTTAATAACTAATAGTCGTTCAATCCATAATCAACGGATCATTCATTTCCTAATCAACCATTATCATAATAAATAGGATTTTTTTTTTCTTAATGGTATGAATGATTTGTTAGCTGTAATCTTTAAGCTTAAACTCGGTTAAAAATGCACTTCAAAATTTTTAAAATAGCTCAACATTGCTGGAAAATAATTCATATTCAATGTAGAGCGGTAAGATAAAGTTTTCTGTTGCACGCACCAGATTTTTTACATAGTATTAATATTAAATAATTAATTAAGAAAAAAATTTGGCGGTTGAACATGATTTCGGTCAAATCACTTCCTTGCACATATGTTGCCCCAAAACAGTACCTTTCCTGCATAGTACTGAACCCAAAACCTTCAGGAGTTGTTGTGGTACAGGTTTTTATTTATTCACTATCCATGCAATCATTGTAGATTCCCGAAATCCTCTTTTCAATATTAGGAGTATCAGAGAGGTCGTTCAGAGCTATAACTAAAGCTCTATCGTAAATCACTAACGTTACTTTACATAAACACCTTTACACGGCAACTGTTAACGACTTCATACAAACTACAAATGACTTCAAGATAACTAGAGGAACATACTCTCATAGAAGTTATGAGTACAATTTATTTGTACGATAACACACCTTGAAAGCACAAAAAAAAAAAGCGTAATGAGGAATCTCCTAGTTTAAAATTATATACTAAAATCAAGATAGAAACGGAAGCCGCTGGGAAATCCTCCCTCCCACATCGACTAATGCTACGATTATTATTATTCCCAATGGCAGACGCACTGATTTTCATTATTTTTGACAAAATGTAAAGAAAAAAAAGTATTTCAGTTTCTTTTTTATTTAAAGATTGATCTGTATTTATAAAACATGGTATTATTCACGACCTCTGTGCTCTATTAAATAAATGCAACCATAATAAACAACGAAATTTGCTATTGATTCGAATAATTTAACTCGCAGATCACAGAACAACTATAGCTCACCACACCATCTCAATTAATTGTAATGTTAATTATTTATATTTCTCCCAAAAAATAGTCAATTAATATTCAAATATTCTATGAATATATATATCCAGTCCATTTGAATCATACATTCATTTAGAGTCTTTATTAAATTTATTGAACAATGTTTGTATTCAGAGGATTGTCGCAAATATCATTTGTACATTAATATTTCTATATAATTTGTATATTCATCTTTCCCTACATTCATTTTTTTCTACGCCTGTTGACTTGACTTGATGAGTCTTCTTCAGCAGTTTGGGACTATTATTAGCGACAGTAGTGATCGTTTGGTTTTCTCTTCTTCGAGATATCCATGGAGCACGTGGTTAGCCGGACACGATCACATTTCACTCTTCATCAGGAACTTTCTCTGAAGGATGGTTGGCAACCTCTTGTTGAATCTTCCACTAAGTTTTCTATGAGATACGAGATTATCAGCCCTATACCCAACTCCCAACCTGGAGTACCATGAGCTATGGTGTTAGACACAGGGATCGCCTGCACTTATTAATTTTAATTTATAATTTTTATATTCATATTTGATAATAATTTTTCTATTGAGGGCATTTTATATGTACCAATTAAGATTTCTAGTGAGATTATTGTTAATTGTACCAATCATGAATATCATAAATAACACAGGTAATATTGGTAATTAGAAAGCTGATGAACACAAATCAACCTGTGAGAAAGGAAATTGAATTACACTTGGATTTGGACAATTATTATATTATATGTTTGAATTCCTTATATTTATTTTTTATTTAATATTTCTGGGAAATTATTCTCAATAATTATCCAGTGGTATATTGAAACGTTCCCATATGACAAAGCAATTACATACTTTCATAATCATAGTTCATAATCAAACACCTAGAAACCTTTAAATTTACACTATAATTTGTGCTGTTAATTCATTACAAGTTTATGCGTATTATTGAATAGCTAACAATATAAGTTTGCAAGTTAGTATAATTTCATTTGGACTTTTCAACAAAACGTAAAACAATACTGCTATGTTCCTGGCCTCGCGTTTCTACTGCGAGTAGGGGGTTCCAGGAACCGCATTTATTTGTATTTAATAGTTATATTTGTATTCATATCGGTTCCAGAAGGGAACTAATCTACAGAAAAATATATTAATTAGGTATTTAAAGGTAAGATACCACAGACCCCCTACTGTCGTATCATAGATTGAACCATATAATTTTTATTGGATTTCTTTTCTAAAGGTATCGTGTTTTTAAATTTACTATTTGTTCTATATCTAATTGGTGGCATGCAAGGTAGAATGTAAAATCATCAAGATGGTTTACTAACTATTATATTTACAAGCTTAAATAAAACCAAAATCATCTATATACAAAATAATAACTAAACCTATATACATAATGAATAAATGAGAATCATACTGGAGGAGAATGCTTGATGTTTGATTAAAGTTACATGTGTTATATTGATTATATTAATTAATGAGGTATGGTTGCCAACACAAATTTACATTAGTATAACTAAATGCTTGTTACCACTTAGCTGGTCCTTCATAGTGTTTCTAGGTGTTTCTAGCCGTCATATCTGGATTCCCTGTCTCTGCTCTCCTTCAGCGTCTAGTCCGCCCATCTGCTCTCTCCGGCTGTCTTCGTCTTCCTCCCTCGACTCCCCCGCTTGAAGTCTCCTCAGCTGAGTCCCAAAGAGAAGTCCTTAGTCGTAGTCCTCTATTTCCCACCTTTCTTCATCCCCCTCTCTTTTGG